ACACTAAACTTAGGTTTGTCACCTTTAGGTTTGTCACCTTTAGGTTTGTCACCTTTAGGTTTGTCACCTTTAGGTTCCTTTGTAGGAAAACAAATAAACTTCCAAGGTTTAAACACTAGAAGAGCTGATTTTGCTTTATTTCAGGGTGGGTTCTCTGTCCCCTTGAATTATTGTGTGGTAGATTTTGTACTCAAGCCTGGCCTGTAGCTAAAACTTACCCAAATTTTGTTTTCTAAATTCTCTTTAAATCCTGTCACAGCCCCTGGTGCTGCTCGGACCATTTTAAGAGCTGTTAGGGAGGAAAGCGTGCCTGGAATGTGGCTCTTGCAGCCTGGCTGGACTTTCATGGTAACTTGGCTTTTTTTAGAACACAAACAGCTCTTCTTGTCAGAAAAAGTTGGAGCCTTGGCAGAGGATTTGGTGGCTGAAGCAGTGGCCTCTCCTTTTTTGGGAGAGGATGAGGAGATGGGGCAGCAGATAATGCTGAAGAGCGCTCAGCTTGGGGAAGCCCGTCCCTGCTGCGTTCGGGGGTTATCTGCAGGAGCTCCTCATCCACGCGGGAGGGATGGTAGGCGCTTAATTAATGAGATGTGGTTAATTAAAGGTGACCCCGCCATGCAGGGCACAGCGCCGGCCGCGGTCCTCCTTTTAAACCTTCGGTCACCCTCCTATTGGCTCGTCATAGCCACGCCAGCCAATCAGCAGCGTCTCCGGCAGAGGGCGTTCCCACTCACTCTGGCGGACTCCATTTCCCAGCGCGCACCGCGCGGCTCGCGGGCACTTCCGGTTCTGGTACGCGGGGCTGCGGTAGCGCTGGTCTGGGCGGGGGGGGGGAACGGCCGGACCCCCCGAGCTGAGGGGTGTGTGGGGGCACGGCCGGGACCCCTGAGAAGGGTCGGTCTGGGGCTGGCACTGCTGGGACCCCTCCTGAGGGCCGGCGGGCTCCGGTTACGCCGCGGGGGCGGGGGGGGCTGGCACGGCTTCCCGCAACTGTCTCAGGGGTTTGTTGGGTGGTGGGGGGGGTCTCACTGGGGTCCACTTTCCCCCGTTCCAGAGCTCTGCAGGTCCCAGTCCGGCTTGGCCGCGCTCAGGGAGAGGCTGCCATGTCCCTGCCCGAGTGGCACATCGCCGTGAAGCTGGCGGAGCAGCCGCTGGCTCCCAAATCCATCCTGCACCTCCCGGAGACGGAGCTGGGCGAGTGCCCGCTGGGCGGGTGCAGCATCTCCCACCTCAAGCAGCTTATCACCGGGAAGCTGCAGGAGTCCATCCCGGACCCCGAGCTCATCGGTGGGTGCCCGCCTGGATCCTGTCACAGTCCTGCCACTTGAGGACACCCTTTTCCCGTCCTCGCTGCGGCTGGGACACAACATCCTGCTGCTGGTGGTGGTGGTGGGAGGGCTCAGCACAGCCAGATAACACGGGGTGAGGACTCAGAGTGTGCTGCAGGGGCTCTGCTGCACACAGAAATCTGATACCATGTGGTTTGGATAGAATATTCCCTATTTTCTTGGGATCACAGAGCTCCAGTGGTGTCAGTGCCCTCGTTAAGGAGTCTTTGGGCTTCCAAACACCTCTGTGTCCTGGTGAGATCTCTCATGAGAACTGAGAGAGGTTGGCTCTTCTAGGGGGAGGTGGCAAAGTCACGTTCTGTGTATCAACTCCATGATTTCCTCCCTGAACCTCAGCTCCACAGCTTCCCTGTGTTGTTCCCTGGCCAGATGGAGCAGCTGCAGCAATAACCCCCAGAGCTCTCAGTCCTTTCTGAGGGGGTCACAGATGTTTATCTTTGGGTGTTTCTCCCCCTAGACCTGATCTACTGTGGCCGGAAGCTGAGGGATGACCAGACCCTGGATTTTTATGGCATCCAGTCTGGCTCCACTGTCCATGTCCTGCGCAAGTCCTGGCCCGAGCCTGATCAGAAACCGGGTGAGGAGCAGACTGGGGGGGGGGGTTTACCCTTTGGATCTCTTTGGGGTATGTTTTTAAGGAACCGAGGAACAGCTTCTCTTGCTTCATTCCTGAGGTTTCCAGGCGGAATTAATCCATTTGTTTGGGAGCTCCCCACCTCTAACAGCAGCAAATGGGTATTAATTTTCTTGCTGACGGAAGAGTTAAGGAATGAGCCATGCAGTGTGGAGAGGGACTATCCCTTCCTTAACAGCCTGAATTTTAGGGTGTTGCAAGACAATCTGGAGCAAAGCTGGTTCCTCAGCTCCAGGGATGAGCAGGCTTGTGTGTGCTCCTGCTCTTCCTGACTGTAGAATGAACTGGAGTGGTTTAGTCTTGTTATGTCTTTAATAGAACTCCTTTGGTACATGTAGGAAGATATTTCTGTATATTTTTATTACCTGACAGTGCAGTAAGTTGTTACTCTGTGTAACTGTACCAAGA